CCCGGCAGAGGAACCAGAAGAGCCAGAGGATTTCTTGGTCGATTTTGACAACCAATACGTCATTTAATCTACGTGGAGATAAAAGTTTAATAATAGCAATGAAAAGTATGAATGCCGCAGACATCACCACGCAACATGACAATTTGTTCAAGGTTTGATGATCGGAACGTGAAAATCGATTTTGGAAACACACAAAACCAAACCTTGAACAAATTGTCATGTTGCGTGGTGATGTCTGCGGCATTCATACTTTTCATTGCTATTATCAATACGTCATTGTTTTTCTTTTTTCACTGGCTATCCTTTCTCAGCTTCCGAATTGCGATGCCGTCCACCTGGAAAGCCTTCAAGTGAAACTAGTGGAGGCCGGTTTCGGAGGTAATTTTCGGCCAAACGGCAATCAAATCGAAAAATTCGAAGCGGACCATCTGTTGGTATCTATCGAAAGAAGACGTTGGTCCATAAAAAATATTTGGAAACTACACCGTATGAACCAAGGAATTACGGTAAGTTTGAGAATTTTGGTAATTTTGGTACGTTAGCTGTACGCTGTGTGGTCGATTAGCGCAACCGTTGACAAACGGGCCAGTGACGAGCAGAGGAGCCAGAGGAGCCCGGCAAAGAAGCCAGAGAAGCCCGGCAGAGGAGCTCGGCAGAGGAGCCATAGGAGCCCAGCAGAAAAGCCAGAGGAGCCAGACTCAGCTGCCAGAGGAGCCAAATGAGCCAGACTCAGCTGCCAGAGGAGCCAGAAGAGCCAGAGGAGCCAGACGAGCCAGAGGAGCAAGAGGAGCCAGAGGATTTCTTGGTCGATTTTGACAACCAATACGTCGTTGCTTTTCCTTTTTCACTGGCTATCCTTTCTCCGCTTCCGAATTGCGATGCCGTCCACCTGGGAAGCCTTGAGGAGCCAGAGGAGCCAGACTCAGCTGCCAGAGGAGCCGGACTCCGCTGCCAGAGGAGCCAGAGGACTCCGGAGAGGAGCCAGAAGAGCCAGAGGAGCCAGAAGAGCCAGAGGAGCCAGAGGATTTCTTGGTCGATTTTGACAACCAATACGTCGTTGTTTTTCCTTTTTCACTGGCTATCCTTTCTCCGCTTCCGAATTGCGATGCCGTCCACCTGGAAAGCCTTGAGGAGCCAGAGAAGCCACAGGAGCCAGATGAGCCAGACAAAGCTGCCAGAGGAGCCAGACTCAGCGGCCGGAGGAGCCAGAAGAGCCAGAGGAGCCAGAGGATTTCTTGGTCGATTTTGACAACCAATACGTCGTTGTTTTTCCTTTTTCACTGGCTATCCTTTCTCCGCCTCCGAATTGCGATGCCGTCCACCTGGAAAGTATTGAGGATTCAGAGGAGCCAGAGGAGCCAGAGGAGCCAGAAGAGCCAGAGGAGCCAAATGATTTCTTGGTCTATTTTGACAACCAATACGTCGTTGTTTTTCCTTTTTCACTGGCTATCCTTTCTCCGGAAATTAGAGGCCACATGCCACGTACTGCTCTTTTCTCTCCGAAACTCAAGGTCCCTGGTTCGAGTCCCGGTGGTGTGACTGATGATTTTTTCTTTCTTTCATATCTGGCTTGCAAGTGTTGAGTTTCGGAGAGAAAAGAGCAGTACGTGGCATGTGCCCTCTAATTTCCTAAAAACTTTGAAATCCTCCGTGAAGTCCAAATTTGAAATTGCTATCCTTTCTCCGCTTCCGAATTGCGATGCCGTCCACCTGGAAAGCCTTGAGGATTCAGAGGAGCCAGAGAAGCAAAAGGAGCCAGAGGATCCAGAGGAGCCTGGTTCTTCTGGCTCTCCTGGCTCTTCTGGCTCCTCTGGCTCTTCTGGCTCATCTGGCTCTTCTGATTCTTCTGGCTCTTCTGGCTCTTCCAGCTCTTCCGGATCTTCCGGCACCTCTGGCTCTTCTGGCCACTCTGGTTCCTCTGGCTCCTCTGGCTCTTCTGGCTCCTCTGGCTCCTCTGGCTCTTCTGGCTCCTCTGGCTCATCTGGCTCCTCTGGCTCCACTGGCAGCTGACTCTGGCTTATCTGGCTCCTCTGGCTCCTCTGCCGGGCTCCTCTGGCTCCTCTGTCACCTAAGGCTCTTCTGGCTCCTCTGGCTCCTCTGGCTCCTCTGGCTCCTCTGGCTCCTCTGCCGGGCTAATCTGCCTCCTTTTGCTCTTCTGGCTCCTCTGTCTCTTCAGTTCTGGCGCCTCTGGCTCCTCTGGCTCCTATGGCAGCTGAATCTGGCTCCTCTGGCAGCTGAATCTGGCTCATCTGGCTCCTCTGGCAGCTGAATCTGGCTCCTCTGGCTCCCCTGCCGGGTTCCTCTGGACTCAGACTCAGCTGCCAGAGGAGCCAGAGGAGCCCGGCAGAGGAGCCAGATGAGCCAGACTCAGCTGCCAGAGGAGCCAGAGGAGCCCAGACTCAGCGGCCCGAAGAGCCAGAAGAGCCAGATGAGCCAGAAGAGCAAGAGGAGCCAGAGGAGCCAGAGGAGCCAGAGAATTTCTGGGTCAATTTTGACAACCAATACGTCTTTGTTTTTCCATTTTCACTGGCTATCCTTTCTCCGCCTCCGAATTGCGATGCCGTCCACCTGGAAAGCCTTGAGGATTCAGAGGAGCCAGAGGACCTAGAGGACCCAGAGGAGCCAGAGGAGCCAGAAGAGCCAGAGGGACAAGAGGAGTCAGCTGCCAGAGGAGCCAGATGAGCCAGGGGAACCAGATGAGCCAGAGGATCTAGAGGAGCCAGAGGAACTGCCGGCGCGGAGCCGCAAGTGCGGAGCCACCAGCGCGGAGCCGCCAGCTCGCAGCCGCCAGCGCGGAGCCGCAAACGCGGAGCCGCCAGCGCCGCCAGCGCGGAGCCGCCGGAGCTAAGCCGCCGGAGCGGAGCCACAAGAGGGGAGCAGCCGGAGTGGAGCCGCCGGAGTGGAGCCGCCGGAGTGGAGCCGCCGGAGTGGGGCCGCCGTAATAGAGCCGCAGGAGTGGAGCCGCCCGCGTGGAGCCGCCAGCGTGGAGCCGCCAGCGTGGAGCCGCGAGCGTGGAGCCCCCAGAGTGGAGCCACCAGAGTAGGGCCACCAGAGTGGGGCCACCAGAGTGGGGCCACATGAAAGGGGCCACCAGAGTGGAGCCACCAGAGTGGAGCCGCCAGAGTAGAGCCTCCGGCGCGGAGCGGCCCCGCCAGATTAGGGCCGCCGACGCGGAGCCGCCGACGCGGAGCCGCCGGTGCGGAGCCGCCGGAGCGGAGATACCGGAGCGGAGCCGCCGGAGCGAAGCCGCCGGAGCTGAGCCGCAGGAGCGGAGCCGCCGGAGCGGAGCCGCCGGAGAGGAGCCGCCGAGGGGAAGCCGCCGGAATGGAGCCGCCAGAGTGGAGCCGCCCGCGCGGAGCCGCCAGCGTGGAGCCGCCAGGGCGGAGCCGCCAGCGCGGAGCCACCAGCGTGCAGCCGCCAGCGCGGAGCCGGAAGCGTGGAGCCGCCAGCGTGGAGCGTAGCCACGAGAGCGGAGCCACCGGAGGGGAGCTACCGGAGTGGAGCCGCCGGAATGGAGCCGCCGAAGTGGAGCCGCCAGTGTGGAGCCGCCTGCGTGGAGCCGCAAGCTTGGAGCCGCCAGCGTGGAGCCGCCAGCTTGAAGCGGACAGTCACTGGAGAGGAGCCACCAGAGTGGAGCCACCGGTTTGGAGCCACCGGAGTAGATCCACCAGAATGGAGCCAGCAGAGTGGAGCCGCCAACGTGGAGCCGCCAACGTGGAGCCGCCAGCGTGGGGCCGCCAGCGTGGAGCCGCCAGGTTGGAGCCGCCAGCGTTGAGCCACTAGCGAGTGAGCCGCCAGCAAGTGGAACCGCCAGCGCGTAGCCGCCAGAGCGGAGGTGCCAGCGTGAAGCTGCCAGCGTGGAGCCGCCTGCGTTGAGCTGCCAGTGGGGAGTCGCCAGCATGGAGTGGAGCCGCCCGAGCAGAGCCGCCGAAGGGGAACCGCCGGAGGGGAGGCGCCGGAGTGGAGGCGCCGGAGTGGAGGCGCCGAAATGGAGCCGCCGGAGTGGATCCGCCGGCGTGGAGCCGCCAGCATTGAGCCGCCAGCGTGGAGCCGCCAGAGTGGAGCCTCCAGCGTGGAGCCTCCAGCGTGGAGGCGCCAGCGTGGAGGCGCCAGCGTGGAGGCGCCAGCGTGGGGCGGAGCCACCAGAGCGGCGCTACTGGAGGGGAGTCAGTGGAGCCACCGGAATGGAGCCACCGGAGTGGAGCCATCGGAGGGGAGCCACCGGAGTGGAGCCACCAGAGTGGAGCCAACAGCGTGGATCCGCCAGCATGGAGCCGCCAGCAATGAGCCGCCAGCGAGGAGCCGCCGGAGTGAAACCATGGGAGTGGAGCCATTGGAGGGGAGCCACCGGTGTGGAGCCACCAGAGTCGAGCCACCAGCGTTGAGCCGCCAGCGTGGAGCAGCGAGCGTGGAGCCGCCTGCGGTGAGCCACCAGCGTGGAGCCGCCAGCGCGGAGCCGCCAGCGCGGAGCCGCAAGCGTGGAACTGCCAGCGTGGATCCGCCAGCGTGGAGTCGCCAGCGTTGAGCAACCAGCGAGTAGAGCCACCAGCGTGGAGCCACCAGCGATGACACTCCAGCGTGAAGCCACCAGCGTGGATCCGCCAGCGTGGAGCCGCCAGCGCGCCACCAGAGCGGAGCCACCGAAGCGGAGCCACCGGAGGGGAGCCACAAGAGTGGAGCAACCGGAGTGGAGCCACCAGAGTGGAGCCACCGGACCGGACCCGCCGGCACGGATCCGCCAGCGCGGAGCCGCCAGCGGGGAGCCGCCACCGCGGAGCCGCCAGCGTGGACCGGAGCCACCAGAGCGGAGCCACCAGAGCGGAGCCACCAGAGCGGAGCCACCAGAGCGGAGCCACCAGAGCAGAGCCACTGTAGGGGAGCTACTAGGGTGGAGCCACCGGAGGGGAGCCACCGGAGTGGAGTCACTGGAGTGGAGCCACCGCAGTGGAGCCACCAGAGTGGAGCCACCAGCGTGAAGCCGCCTGCGTGGTGCCGCCAGCATGGAGGCGCCAGCGTGGAGTCGCCAGCGTGGAGCCACCAGAGTGGAGCCCCCAGCGTGGAGCCGCCAGCAAGGAGCCGCCGGCGTTGAGCCTCCAGTGAGTGGAGCCACCAGCGTCGAGCCACCAGCGTGGAGCCGCCAGGGTGGAGCCGCCAGCGCACCACAAGAGCGGAGCCACCAGAGCAGAGCCACCGGAACGAAGCCACCGGAGGGGAGCCACCGGAGTGGAGCCACCGGAGCAGGGCCGCCGGAGCGGAGCCGCCGGAGCGGAGCCGCCGGAGCGGAGCCGCCGGAGCGGAGCCGCCGGAGCGGAGCCGCCGGAGCGGAGCCGCCGGAGCGGAGCCGCCGGAGCGGAGCCGCCGGAGCGGAGCCGCCGGAGCGGAGCCGCCGGAGCGGAGCCGCCGGAGCGGAGCCGCCGGAGCGGAGCCGCCGGAGCGGAGCCGCCGGAGCGGAGCCGCCGGACCAGAGCTGCCAGAGGGGAGCCGCCGGACCAGAGCTGCCAGAGGGGAGCCGCCGGAGTGGAGCCGCCGGAGTGAAGCCGCCGGAGTGGAGCCGTCGGAGTGAAGCCGCCGGAGTGGAGCCGCCGGAGTGGAGCCGCCGGAGTGGAGCCGCCGGAGTGAAGCCGCCGGAATGGAGCACTAGCGTGGAGCCGCCGGCGTTGAGCGGAGCCACCAGAGCGGAGCCACCGGGAGGGAGCCACCGGAGTGGAGCCACCGGAGTGGAGCCACCGGAGTGGAGCCACCGGAGTGGAGTCACCAGTGTGGAGCCGCCAGCGCGGAGCCGCCAGCGTTGAGCCGCCAGCGAGGAGCCGCCAGCGTTGAGCCGCCAGCGAGTGGAGCCACCAGCGTGGACCCACCAGCGCGCCACCACAGCGGAGCCACCGGAGCGGAGCCACCGGAGGGGAGCCACCGGAGTGGAGCAACCGGAGCGGAGCCACCGGAGCGGTGCTGCCAGCCCGGAGCCGCCAGCTAGGAGCCGCCGGAGTGAAACCATGGGAGTGGAGCCACCGGAGTGGAGCCATCGGAGGGGAGCCACCGGTGTGGAGCCACCAGAGTCGAGCCACGAGCGTTGAGCTGCCAGCGTGGAGCAGCGAGCATGGAGCGTGGAGCCGCCGACGTGGAGCCGCCAGCGGTGCTCACCAGCGTGGAGCCACCAGCGCGGAGCCGCAAACGTGGAGCTGCCAGCGTGGATCCGCCAGCGTGGAGTCGCCAGCGTTGAGCAACCAGCGAGTAGAGCCACAAGCATGGACCCACCAGCGTTGACCATCCAGCGTGGAGCCACCAGCGTGGATCCGCTAGCGTGGAGCCGCCAGCGCGCCACCAGAGCGGAGCCACCGAAGCGGAGCCATCGGAGGGGAGCCATAGGAGTGGAGCCACCGGAGGGAAGCCACAGGAGTGGAGCAACCGGAGTGGAGCCACAGGAGTGGAGCAACCGGAGTGGAGCCACCAGAGTGGAGCCACCGAACCGGAACCGCCGGCGTTGATCCGCCAGCGGGGAGCCGCCACCGCGCAGCCGCCAGCGTGGACCGGAGCCACCAGAGCGGAGCCACCAGAGCGGAGCCACCAGAGCGGAGCCACTGTAGGGGAGCTACCAGAGTGGAGCCACCGGAGGGGAGCCACCCGAGTGGAGTCACCGGAGTGGAGCCACCGGAGTGGAGCCACAAGAGTGGAGGCACCAGCGTGAAGCCGCCTGCGTGGAGCTGCCAGCATGGAGGCGCCAGCGTGGAGCCACCAGCGTGAAGCCGCCAGCGTGGAGCCGCCAGCAAGGAGCCGCCGGCGTTGAGCCTCCAGTGAGTGGAGCCACCAGCGTGGAGCTACCAGCGTTGGAGCCGCCAGGGTGGAGCCGCCAGGGCGCCACCAGAGCGGAGCCACCAGAGCGGAGCCACCAGAACGGAGCCACCAGAGCGGAGCCACCTGAACGGAGCCACCGGAAAGGAGCCACCAGAGCGGAGCCACCGAAGGGGAGCCACCGGAGTGGAGCCACCGGAGCAGAGCCGCCGGAGCTGCCAGAGGGGAGCCGCCGGAGTGGAGCCGCCGGAGTGGAGCCGCCGGAGTGGAGCCGCCGGAGTGGAGCCGCCGGTGTGGAGCCGCCGGAGTGAAGCCGCCGGAATGGAGCCGCCGGAGCGGAGCCACCGGATTGGAGCCGCCAGCTTGGAGCCGCTAGCGTGGAGCCGCCGGCGTTGAGCGAAGCCACCAGAGCGGAGCCACCGGAGGGGAGCCACCGGAGTGGAGCCACCGGAGTGGAGCCACCGGAGTGGAGCCACCAGAGTGGAGCCACCAGAGTGGAGCCACCAGAGTGGAGCCACCAGCGTGGAGCCGCCAGCAGGGAGCCGCCAGCGTGGAGTCGCCAGCGTGGAGCCGCCAGCGTGGAGCCGCCAGCGTGGAGCCGCCAGCGTGGAGCCGCCAGCGTTGAGCCGCCAGCGAGTGGAGCCACCAGCGTGGAGCCACCAGCGCGCGACCAGAGCGGAGCCACCGGAGAGGAGCCACCGGAGCGGAGAACCGGAGCGGTGCTGCCAGCGCGGAGCCGCCAGCGCGGAGCCGCCAGCGAGGATCCGCCAGCGCGGAGCCGCCAGCGCGGAGCCGCCGGCGTGGAGCTGCCAGCGTGGAGCCGCTAGCGTTGAGCCACCAGTATGGAGCGGAGCCACCGGAGCCGCTGGCGGCTCCGCGCTGGGGCTCCACGATGGTGGCTCCAATCGCTTGCGGAACAACGCTGGCGGCTCCGCGCACGCGGCTCCGCTCTGGCGGCTCCGAGCTGGTGGCTCCCGCTTGCGGCTCCGCGCGCCGGCGGCTCAGCGCCAACGGCTCCGCGCTGGGGGCTCCAGGCTGGCGGCTCCGCGCTGGAGGCTCCGCGCTGGCGGCTCCTCGCTGGCGGCTCCGCGCTGGCGGCTCCCCGCTGGCGGCTTCGCGCCGTCGGCTCGCTGGCGGCTCCGCGCTGGCGGCCCCGCGCAGACGGCTTCGCGCTGGAGGCTCGGCGCTGGCGGCTCTGCGCTGGCGGCTCCCTGCTGGCGGCTCCCCGCCGGCGGCTCTGCGCTGGCGCCTCCGCCCTGGTGGCTTGCTGGCGGCTCCGCGCTGATGGCTCGCTGGCGGCTCCGCGCTGGTGGCTCCGCGCTGGCGGTTCCGCGCTGACGGCTCCGCTCTGGAGGCTCTTCGCTGGCGGTTCCGCGCTGGCGCGTCCGCACTCTCCGCGCTGGCGGCTCCGCTCTTGCGGCTCGCTGGCGGCTCCGCGCTGGCGGCTCCGCACTGGTGGCTCCGCGCTGGCGGCTCCGCGCTGGAGGCTCCGCGCTGGCGGCTACACTCTGGCGGCTCCTCGCTGGCAGCTCCGCGCTGGCGGCTCAGCGCTGGCGGCTCAGCGCTGGCGGCTCCGCGCTGGCGGCTCAGCGCTGGGGGCTGCTCGCTGGCGGTTCCGCTCTGGCGGCTCCTCGCTGGCGGCTCCGCTCTCGCGGCTCGGAGCTGGCGGCTCCGCGCTGGCGGCTCCGCGCTAGCGGCTCCGCGCTGGCGGCTCCGCGTTGGCGGCTCCGCGTTGGCGGCCCCGCGCTGGCGGCTTCGCGCTGGCGGCTCCTCGCTGGCGGCTCCGCGCTGGCGGCTCCGCGCCGGCTGCTCCGCGCTGGCGGCTCCGCGCTGAGGGCTCCCCACTGGCGGCTTCGCTCTGGAGGCTCCGCGATAGCGGCTCCGCCCTGGCGGCTCCGCCCTGGTGGCTCTGCTCCGGCGGCTCCGCTCTGCGCGGAGCCGCCGGCGGCTCAGCGCTGGCGGCTCCTCGCTGGCGGTTCCGCTCTGGCGGCTCCTCGCTGGCGGCTCCGCTGTGGAGGCTCCGCCCTGCCGTCCCCGCGCTGGCGGCTCCGCTCTGGCAGCTCCGCGCTGGCGGCTCGCTGGCGTCTCCGTGCTGGCGGCTCCGCGCTGGCGGCTCCGCGCTGGCGGTTCCGCGCTGGCGGCTCGCTGGCGGCTCCGCGATGGCGGCTACACTCTGGCGGCTCTGCGCTTGCGGCCCCGCGCCGGCGGCTCCGCGCCGGTGCCTCCCCTCTGGCGGCTCCGCGCTGGCGGCTCCGCGCTGGCGGCTCCGCGTTGGCGGCTCCGCGCTGGCGGCTCCGCGCTGTCGGCTCCGCGCTGGCGGCTCCGCGCTGGCGGCTCCGCGCTGGCGACTACGCTCTGGCGGCTCTGCGCTGGCGGCCCCGCGCTGGCGGCTCCGCCCGGCGGCTCCGCGCCGGCACCTCCGCGCAGGCGGCTCCGCGCTGGCGGCTACTCGCTGGCGGCTCCGCGCTTGCGGCTCTTTGCTGGAGGCTCCGCGCTGGCGGCTCCGCGCTGGCGGCTCCGCGCTGATGGCTCCCCGCTGGCGGCTCCGCTCCCCAAGGCTTTCCAGGTGGACCGCATCGCAATTCGGAAGCGGAGAAAGGATAGCCAGTGAAAAATGAAAAACAACGACGTATTGGTTGTCTAAATCGACCAAGAAATCCTCTGGCTCCTCTGGCTCCTCTGGCTCCTCTGGCTCTTCTGGCTCTTCTGGCTCCTCTGGCTCCTCTCCGGAGTCCTCTGGCTCCTCTGGCTGCTCTGGCAGCGGAGTCTGGCTCATTTGGCTCCTCCGGCAGCTGAGTCTGGCTCATCTGGCTCCTCTGGCAGCTGGGTCTGGCTCCTCAGGCTCCTCTAGCTCCTCTGGTTCTTCTGGCTCCTTTGGCTCCTCTGGCTCCTCAAGGCTTTCCAGGTGGACGGCATCGCATTTCGGAAGCAGAGAAAGGTGAGCCAGTGAAAAAGGAAAAGCAACGACGTATTGGTTGTCAAAATCGACCAAGAAATCCTCTGGCTCCTCTGGCTCCTCTGGCTCTTCTCCTCAGGCTCCTCTGGTTCTTCTGACTCCTCTGGCTCCTCTGGCTCTTCTGGCTCCTGTGGCTCCTCGGGCTCCTCTGGCAGCTGAGTCTGGCTCATTTGGCTCCTCCGGCAGCTGAGTCTGGCTCATCTGGCTCCTCTGGCTTTTCTGCTGGGCTCCTATGGCTCCTGTGCCGAGCTCCTCGGGCTCGTCTGGCTCCTCTGCCGGGCTTCTCTGGCTCCTCTGCCGGGCTCCTCTGGCTCCTCTGCTCGTCACCATGGTCACTGGTCCGTTTGTCAACGGTCGCGCCAATCGACCACACAGCGTACAGCTAACGTACCAAAATTACCAACATTCTCAAACTTACCGTAATTCCTTGCATCTGGCTCATCTGGCTCATCTGGCTCATCTGGCTCATATTTCTGGCTCATCTGGCTCATCTGGCTCATCTGGCTCATCTGGCTCATCTGGCTCATCTGGCTCATCTGGCTCATCTATCTGGCTCATCTGGCTCATCTGGCTCATCTGGCTCATCTGGCTCATCTGGCTCATCTATCTGGCTCATCTGGCTCATCTGGCTCATCTGGCTCATCTGGCTCATCTGGCTCATCTGGCTCATCTGGCTCATCTGGCTCATCTGGCTCATCTGGCTCATCTGGCTCATCTGGCTCATCTGGCTCATCTATCTGGCTCATCTGGCTCATCTGGCTCATCTGGCTCATCTGGCTCATCTGGCTCATCTGGCTCATCTGGCTCATCTGGCTCATCTGGCTCATCTGGCTCATCTGGCTCATCTGGCTCATCTGGCTCATCTGGCTCATCTGGCTCATCTGGCTCATCTGGCTCATCTGGCTCATCTGGCTCATCTGGCTCATCTGGCTCATCTGGCTCATCTATCTGGCTCATCTGGCTCATCTGGCTCATCTGGCTCATCTGGCTCATCTGGCTCATCTGGCTCATCTGGCTCATCTGGCTCATCTGGCTCATCTGGCTCATCTGGCTCATCTATCTGGCTCATCTGGCTCATCTGGCTCATCTGGCTCATCTATCTAAAAGCGGTGAACCCCTTGATAGGCGACAGGCCTCTGGGTCATCCTAATAAAGATTATTATTATTATTATTATTATCTGGCTCATCTGGCTCGTCTAGCTCATCTGGCTCATCTGGCTCATCTGGCTCATCTGGCTCATCTGGCTCATCTGGCTCATCTGGCTCATCTGGCTCATCTGGCTCATCTATCTGGCTCATGTGGTTCATGTGGCTCATCTGGCTCATCTGGCTCATCTATCTGGCTCATCTGGCTCATCTGGCTCATCTGGCTCATCTGGCTCATCTGGCTCATCTGGCTCATCTGGCTCATCTGGCTCATCTGGCTCATCTGGCTCATCTGGCTCATCTGGCTCATCTGGCTCATCTGGCTCATCTGGCTCATCTGGCTCATCTATCTGGCTCATCTGGCTCATCTGGCTCATCTGGCTCATCTGGCTCATCTGGCTCATCTGGCTCATCTGGCTCATCTGGCTCATCTGGCTCATCTGGCTCATCTGGCTCATCTGGCTCATCTGGCTCATCTGGCTCATCTATCTGGCTCATCTGGCCCATCTGGCTCATCTGGCTCATCTGGCTCATCTGGCTCATCTGGCTCATCTGGCTCATCTGGCTCATCTGGCTCATCTGGCTCATCTGGCTCATCTGGCTCATCTATCTGGCTCATCTGGCTCATCTGGCTCATCTGGCTCATCTGGCTCATCTGGCTCATCTGGCTCATCTGGCTCATCTGGCTCATCTATCTGGCTCATCTGGCTCATCTGGCTCATCTGGCTCATCTGGCTCATCTGGCTCATCTGGCTCATCTGGCTCATCTATCTGGCTCATCTGGCTCATCTGGCTCATCTGGCTCATCTGGCTCATCTGGCTCATCTGGCTCATCTGGCTCATCTGGCTCATCTGGCTCATCTGGCTCATCTGGCTCATCTGGCTCATCTGGCTCATCTGGCTCATCTGGCTCATCTGGCTCATCTGGCTCATCTGGCTCATCTGGCTCATCTATCTGGCTCATCTGGCTCATCTGGCTCATCTGGCTCATCTGGCTCATCTGGCTCATCTGGCTCATCTGGCTCATCTGGCTCATCTGGCTCATCTGGCTCATCTATCTGGCTCATCTGGCTCATCTGGCTCATCTGGCTCATCTATCTAAAAGCGGTGAACCCCTTGATAGGCGACAGGCCTCTGGGTCATCCTAATAAAGATTATTATTATTATTATTATCTGGCTCATCTGGCTCGTCTAGCTCATCTGGCTCATCTGGCTCATCTGGCTCATCTGGCTCATCTGGCTCATCTGGCTCATCTGGCTCATCTATCTGGCTCATGTGGCTCATCTGGCTCATCTGGCTCATCTGGCTCATCTATCTGGCTCATCTGGCTCATCTGGCTCATCTGGCTCATCTGGCTCATCTGGCTCATCTGGCTCATCTGGCTCATCTGGCTCATCTGGCTCATCTGGCTCATCTGGCTCATCTGGCTCATCTGGCTCATCTGGCTCATCTATCTGGCTCATCTGGATCATCTGGCTCATCTGGCTCATCTGGCTCATCTGGCTCATCTGGCTCATCTGGCTCATCTGGCTCATCTGGCTCATCTGGCTCATCTGGCTCATCTGGCTCATCTGGCTCATCTGGCTCATCTGGCTCATCTGGCTCATCTGGCTCATCTGGCTCATCTATCTGGCTCATCTGGCTCATCTGGCTCATCTGGCTCATCTGGCTCATCTGGCTCATCTGGCTCATCTGGCTCATCTGGCTCATCTGGCTCATCTGGCTCATCTGGCTCATCTATCTGGCTCATCTGGCTCATCTGGCTCATCTGGCTCATCTGGCTCATCTGGCTCATCTGGCTCATCTGGCTCATCTGGCTCATCTGGCTCATCTGGCTCATCTGGCTCATCTATCTGGCTCATCTGGCCCATCTGGCTCATCTGGCTCATCTGGCTCATCTGGCTCATCTGGCTCATCTGGCTCATCTGGCTCATCTGGCTCATCTGGCTCATCTGGCTCATCTGGCTCATCTGGCTCATCTGGCTCATCTGGCTCATCTGGCTCATCTGGCTCATCTGGCTCATCTGGCTCATCTGGCTCATCTGGCTCATCTGGCTCATCTGGCTCATCTGGCTCATCTGGCTCATCTGGCTCATCTGGCTCATCTATCTGGCTCATCTGGCTCATCTGGCTCATCTGGCTCATCTGGCTCATCTGGCTCATCTGGCTCATCTGGCTCATCTATCTGGCTCATCTGGCCCATCTGGCTCATCTGGCTCATCTTGCTCATCTGGCTCATCTGGCTCATCTGGCTCATCTGGCTCATCTGGCTCATCTATCTGGCTCATCTGGCTCATCTGGCTCATCTGGCTCATCTGGCTCATCTATCTGGCTCATCTGGCTCATCTGGCTCATCTGGCTCATCTGGCTCATCTGGCTCATCTGGCTCATCTGGCTCATCTATCTGGCTCATCTGGCTCATCTGGCTCATCTGGCTCATCTGGCTCATCTGGCTCATCTGGCTCATCTGGCTCATCTGGCTCATCTGGCTCATCTGGCTCATCTGGCTCATCTGGCTCATCTGGCTCATCTGGCTCATCTGGCTCATCTGGCTCATCTGGCTCATCTGGCTCATCTATCTGGCTCATCTGGCTCATCTGGCTCATCTATCTGGCTCATCTGGCTCATCTGGCTCATCTGGCTCATCTGGCTCATCTGGCTCATCTGGCTCATCTGGCTCATCTGGCTCATCTGGCTCATCTGGCTCATCTGGCTCATCTGGCTCATCTATCTGGCTCATCTGGCTCATCTGGCTCATCTGGCTCATCTGGCTCATCTGGCTCATCTATCTGGCTCATCTGGCCCATCTGGCTCATCTGGCTCATCTGGCTCATCTGGCTCATCTGGCTCATCTGGCTCATCTGGCTCATCTGGCTCATCTGGCTCATCTGGCTCATCTGGCTCATCTGGCTCATCTGGCTCATCTGGCTCATCTGGCTCATCTGGCTCATCTGGCTCATCTGGCTCATCTGGCTCATCTGGCTCATCTGGCTCATCTATCTGGCTCATCTGGCCCATCTGGCTCATCTGGCTCATCTGGCTCATCTGGCTCATCTGGCTCATCTGGCTCATCTGGCTCATCTATCTGGCTCATCTGGCTCATCTGGCTCATCTGGCTCATCTGGCTCATCTGGCTCATCTGGCTCATCTGGCTCATCTGGCTAATCTGGCTCATCTGGCTCATCTGGCTCATCTGGCTCATCTGGCTCATCTGGCTCATCTGGCTCATCTGGCTCATCTGGCTCATCTGGCTCATCTATCTGGCTCATCTGGCTCATCTGGCTCATCTGGCTCATCTGGCTCATCTGGCTCATCTGGCTCATCTGGCTCATCTGGCTCATCTGGCTCATCTGGCTCATCTGGCTCATCTGGCTCATCTGGCTCATCTGGCTCATCTGGCTCATCTGGCTCATCTGGCTCATCTGGCTGGCTCATCTGGCTCATCTGGCTCATCTGGCTCATCTATCTGGCTCATCTGGCTCATCTGGCTCATCTGGCTCATCTGGCTCATCTATCTGGCTCATCTGGCTCATCTGGCTCATCTGGCTTGTTGCGGCCCTGTGGCCATGGTAGACAAGATTTCCTTCGAACCATTACTTGTTCTTTACAAAGTGGAATAAAACTGAATCTCAAAGAGTTCTGAAAAGCAAAGCGTGACACGCATACATGTAGCCTCAAGCAGAAAAGCTGGCCGCGCAAAAGGAAACATGCAGCCAAAAAGATGCCTAGCTCTGGCGTACATCGTAGAGGTCACTGCACATCCGGTGCACTGCGCCCCAAAGGTGCAGGCACGGCGCCCCAAGGAGTGACCATGGTGACGACATACATAAACTGCATCGCGTCATGCAGATAGAGCGATAGCGTACAAAGTACAAACAAAACAAAAATAACTGAGAGAAGCGAAAATAAATAAATTGAAGAGAAGAAGCGAGAGAGAGAAGAGTGAAGGAATTTAATTCTAATTATTTAGAGCTGGACAGATATCGTCAAGGAGACATGCAGATACACAATAGAATCGACTCGACTGCATGTAGAGTAGCTGCCTCTAACTGCAGCAGAGTGGAGCACGCAGGTACGTGATCAACTCAGGAATAGTGAAAGGTGAGAGAGACAAAATACAAATAAATTCGAACGAGCAAATACAATAATTGTGAATTCATGTGCAAGGGTCTGTAACATTCTCCCCCCCCCCCCCCTGGTAACAGGGAACCGATGACCTGTTACAAGTCACAAACAAAGTTAGCGCAGCACGTCCAGCTTGGCAAGCTTAACGACTGAGCGCCGGTACAGTCCAGACTTGGTGCGCACATCTGCCACCCGCACAACGCCATCACTGCCCGGGTGTACAGCCTCTAGTCGGCCCCGAGGCCACTGCCCTCGTGGCTGGTTGCTGTCGACGATCACCACGACATCACCTACAGCCAGTGACGGTGTGCCGTCCTGCCACTTCCTCCGCCTGGTGAGTTCTGGCCGGTATTCCAAGATCCACCTCTTCCAGAATTCGTCGGTGATCTTCTGTGCAATCCGCCAGTGCTTCCTCAGGCTCAAATCAGCATCTACAAACACGCCTGGCCGACCAGTTGCACTACTGGACCCAATGAGGAAGTGGTTGGGTGTGAGGGACTCTTCATCATCAGGATCTACTGAGACGTGAGTCAGCGGCCGACTATTCACGAGTTGCTCGGCTTCAGCGAAGACTGTGGCTAGTACTTCTTCTGTCACGACACGCTCCTTCATGACGGATTTCATAGCGATCTTCACTGCTCTGACGAGGCGCTCCCAGCTTCCACCCATGTGGGGAGCAAGTGGCGGGTTGAAGTGCCATGAGATGCCCTTACTGGAACACTCAGCGGCTAGTCGGTCTTGGCGGAAATCTTCCAATGCCGCCTTCAGCTCCCTGTCAGCTCCTCGGAAATTGGTTCCATTATCCGAGTGGATTTCTTGGGGGCAACCTCGCCGGGCGCACATTCGCCTGATTGCCATGAGAGAGTGAGCCACTTCCAAATGTACAGCGCGGGTACTCAGACATGTGAACAACGCACCGTAGCGTAGTTCGCGGCGCCTCCCGATCTTGATGTGCAACGGCCCGAAATAGTCCAGCCCGGTGAACGTGAATGGTCGCAGGAACGGGGTCAAGCGCTGGACAGGTAGATTTCCCATTACAGGTGGCTTGGGATTGGCTCGTTGGTTCTTGCAGTATTGACACTCAGACCATGCTCGCTTCACAGCTGCTCGACCTGTCGTCACCCAGTACTGCTGGCGAAGCTCATTCAATGTCCTCTCGTGTCCATGATGGCCAGAACGCAGATGGTATTCGTGGACTAGGAGCTGTGTGTACCTATGCTTCGGACACAGGATAGCCGGATGTTTCGCACTGTACGCCATTTCCGTCGCATGTGTGAGGCGACCCTGAACCCGCAGGATCCCGTCCTCATCAATGGCTGGTGCTAGCTGTCGTAGACGACTGCTGGTGCTGACAGGCTGGCCATCGCTCAACAAAGCCACTTCTTCGGCAAAACACTCTGCCTGCACAGATTGCATCCAGAGCTGCTCGGCCGCATCCATTTCCTTGGCTGAGATGGCCGCAGTTGATCCGACAGTTTGGCCGCGAACTCTGGCCCGTGTGTTTGCGATGAACCTGGCAACATACGCGGTTGTGCAGATGAGACGTTTCCATGACGAGAATCGGTTGACGTCAGGCAGCGCTTCGGCAATTTGCTGGGGCCTTGGCGGGGATGTTGTCGCCGCAACAAACTCCTTCTTCACTTCGGTCGTGTCGATGCACTCATCCGACGTTGCGGGTGCAGCTGGCCACGCTTCCCGTGACTGCATTAGAAATTCCGGACCAGACTTCCATCGGCCGCAGCTCAGCTCGTGCATGGAGATACCACGAGATGCATCATCTGCAACATTCAGCAGTGTTGGTACCCAGTGCCAACTGCTGGCCTCACTGGCGTCGCAGATCTCAGCTACTCGGTGAGCGACAAACGGCTTGAACTGTCGCGCATCTGACTTGATCCATTGGAGAACGGTTCTGGAGGCTGACCAGAAACAGGTGCTGTGCCACTTAAGCCCATGCTCTTGAGCTAACATCTGGGCGAGTCGACAGCCAAGCACTGCAGCTTGGAGCTCCAGACGTGGAATGGATGTTGGTTTCAGCGGGGCTACTCTAGTCTTGGCGGCAACCAAGGTGCACTCGACGTCATCTGCGTGCTCCACTCTCAGGTACGCCACTGCCGCAAACGCTTTACTGCTGGCATCGCAGAACACATGTAGAGACAAGTCAGTAGCGGACGACGTGAAACAGGAGTACGCACGTGAGATTCTGAACTTGCTGATCTCCAGCAGCTGTCCACACCAAATCTGCCAGCGCGATAGCAGCTCGGGTGGAATCTCATCATCCCAACCGATGCCGCTCAACCAGATGTCCTGGAGGAGTATCCGTGCGGCAATGACAAACGCAGCCAGGAAGCCTAGCGGGTCGAAAACTGACATGACGATGCTGAGTAGGGATCGCTTGGTGGGATGCGCGGCAGACAGCTGCTCTCGGCGTGTCACGTTGAGTTGAAACAGGAACTGGTCACTGTTCGGGTCCCACCGAAGACCCAGCATGCGCTCCACAGGCAGTTGTGAGCTGAGGTCAACGACTCCAGCTGTTCTCATATCAGCTGGCACACTCATCATCACTTCGCTACAGTTGCTAATCCAGTTGCGGATCGTAAACCCGCCTCGCTGCTGGATCTCAATTGTATCGGCTACACGCTGTACCGCCTGGTCGGTAGTATCGACGCTGTCCAGGTAGTCGTCCATGTAGTAGTTCTCCTCGCATGCTGCGGCTACAGCAGCGAATTCCTCGCGGTGCTCCTCAGCATTGCGCCGCATCGTGAACTGCGCGGAGCATGGCGATGACACTGCGCCAAAGATCATGACTTCCATGACGTACGTGTCAGGCGGGCCAGTCTCACCAGGTTGTCGCCACAGGAAGCGCTGAGCTGGCTGGTCTTCTAGGCGTATCCGAACTTGATGAAACATCTCTTTGATGTCAGCCGCAAAGGCAATAGCACGTTGGCGGAACTTCATCAGGACACCCACGAGCTGGTTCAGCAAATCTGGGCCTGGGAGCAGTGCGTCATTTAGCGACATCCCTCTAGCTTTGGCGGCCGCGTCGAATACGAAACGCAGCTTCCCGGGCTTGTTCGGATTGAACACAGCGAAATGTGGTAGGTACCAGGTATGTGCGGTTTGCTCGGCAGCCTCTGCTGGTGTTAGCTTACGAGCGTAGCCTTTCTGAACGTACTCATCGATCTTCTGGGCATACTCTGCTGCGAATTCTGGAGACTTAGCCATCTTTCTTTCTATGCCCATTAGACGGTTGAAAGCCATGTCTTGGCTGGACGGAAGCTTGGGCTGATCTGACTTCCAGAGGAGGCCTGTCTCATACCGGTCACCAACGCGAACCGTGGTGTCGTTCAGGATACTTTCAGCACGGATCATGGCCTTTGGCTTGCCAGCAGAAGCAGACGGTACAACGCCAAAGTTCTCAATGGTGAATGACTCTTTCACTAGTTGGTGCAAATCCGACTCAGGCTGCCAGATGTGGTAGATCGCCTCCGGTTCGAGTTGATCTTGGTGAGTCCGGGCTCCAATGCGACCGTGCACTACCCAACCAAGAAGGGTTCTCGTCAGCATAGGTGCATTTGGCGGGCCTTCGACGACTTCACGTGCCACTGTGAGGTGTCCATTGTCTTGCCCAATGAGCATCCTCGGTTGTACTGCTGGGTACGACGCCCCTCTGGAGTCATCTAAATGAGGCCATCGATTCGCCAGCCCTCTGCCATCTATTGACTGCGAATGCAACTTGAGGTCCTTGGCTGTTCTCACATCATCCATTTGATGCTGGGTGCCATCGCTGCCATTGACCAATACAGAGACTCTGCATGACGAGTTGTCCGTGTGCGTCGTCGAATTCGTCCATGCCATATGCAGGGGATCCGACTGTCCAACAGCACCTATGTCATCCGCTAAGGCCTTGTCCATTAGCGTGACAGTTGAGGCTTCGTCCAGCAGAGCAAGTGTCTCCACACAGCCCTTTGGGCCACTAACCGTCACTGGCAACACTCTCAGCAACACTCGGGTTGCACCAGGAATACCAGTGTGCCCACAAGTGTCGACTGGCTTCTCTGCGGCCTTGCCCTTGTGCAGGAGCACATGATGGTGGTACTTGCAGTCAGGCTCACTGCACTGCTTCCTGCTGCCACACTTCCTGGTAGCGTGTCCACTGGCCAGGCAAGAAAAGCAAAGACGATGACGTTTTACCAGCTCAAAACGGGCTTTCTGGCCAAGCTTCGTGAATGTTGAACACTTACTGAGGGCATGCTGCACTTGTTTGCAGCAAAGGCAGGCTGACTGAGTTTTACTGGTTGCACTTGCTGGTGCCATCGCTGCTGCTGTGCTGTGTACTGTCGAAACTTCCTGGTGACTGTAAACCCGCTGCGTCTTGTCGGTTCGGGTACCCGGCAGATCCACGACGCGCACAGCTGCTTCGGCCTTGTCCGCCAGCCACAAAGAAAACACTCGCAAGCTGATGTCATGGCTACCCTGACGCACAAGTACTTCTCCCCACTGCAGTCGCAGGGATGTTGGCAACCTACCAACAAGCTCTTGACGTAGCTGAGGGTTGTACATGTGACCTTCACTTCGAAGGTGCTCCATGGTAGTAACTAGAGTCGTCACAGCAGTGGACAGGTTGATAAGACTATCAAAGTCTCCTGGCTTGACCTGTCCAATGGCCTTGGCTTTCCCGATCATGGCAGCAATCACAGCATCAGGTCGACCAAACCGGCTTTCCAGGACCTGGAGTACTGTCGGCAGATTCTCCGGCACGGTGAGCATCGCTCCGACGGCAGCCTTGGCTGGGCCTTTTAGGCAACGTTGCAGACGAATTACATTCTCCGATGGCGAAAACCCACACTCGTCTGACGTCCTCTGGTGGGTAGAGGCGAATATGGGCCACTCCTCCGAGTCGCCAGAGAATGCCGGCAAGTCACGACCAACCGTCTGTCGGATCAGAAACTTCTGCATGCCGTATGCTGCTTGCGCTGGGTGCAGGCCTCCAGCCTCAGGACTCTCCTTAGCTGGCTTTGTTGCTGTTGTCCCTGCCGCAAATGTGGCGTGTGCAGTGACGGGTTTCTGGGTCTCTACCCAATGCCTAGTAGCTGTCAAGGCGGACTTTCCCGGAAGTTTACACACTGTTTCTAATCGGGGCTGAGATGAGCTTACTTCTACTTTATTCTCCTGGCCAGAGCTGATCAACGACGCTGCTGATCGGGTAGTCGACGATGCCAACAACGGCCTCAAATGCTGTGTCGGCGCACTGGATGCAGGACGAGACGATCGTCGCGAACGAGAGGACGAGGTGCTGTCGATTTGGGCATGGCGCGCCTCCAACTCCAATTGAAGCAAGCGCCTCTGCCTATCCAGTCGTTCTTGCGCATCCGCCTCCTCAATTGCCATCAAACGTCGTGCCATCTCCAAATTGGCCTCCGCTTTTTGCCGTTTCACGGAGGAGGACGATCTCATCGATGAGGCGAGTGAGGCAGGGGATGCTGGCAACTCCAGCTCAGCAGCCTGCTCGGCGACATCGGCCATATCCGTTTCGCCCTTACCTCTACGATTTCGCAGCATCATTGCTGTGTTTCTGTAATCTGAAGACTGTATATTTCTTTAGAACTGCTCATCCGGCTCGAAGGACCATGTTGCGGCCCTGTGGCCATGGTAGACAAGATTTCCTTCGAACCATTACTTGTTCTTTACAAAGTGGAATAAAACTGAATCTCAAAGAGTTCTGAAAAGCAAAGCGTGACACGCATACATGTAGCCTCAAGCAGAAAAGCTGGCCGCGCAAAAGGAAACATGCAGCCAAAAAGATGCCTAGCTCTGGCGTACATCGTAGAGGTCACTGCACATCCGGTGCACTGCGCCCCAAAGGTGCAGGCACGGCGCCCCAAGGAGTGACCATGGTGACGACATACATAAACTGCATCGCGTCATGCAGATAGAGCGATAGCGTACAAAGTACAAACAAAACAAAAATAACTGAGAGAAGCGAAAATAAATAAATTGAAGAGAAGAAGCGAGAGAGAGAAGAGTGAAGGAATTTAATTCTAATTATTTAGAGCTGGACAGATATCGTCAAGGAGACATGCAGATACACAATAGAATCGACTCGACTGCATGTAGAGTAGCTGCCTCTAACTGCAGCAGAGTGGAGCACGCAGGTACGTGATCAACTCAGGAATAGTGAAAGGTGAGAGAGACAAAATACAAATAAATTCGAACGAGCAAATACAATAATTGTGAATTCATGTGCAAGGGTCTGTAACATTCTCCCCCCCCCCCCCCCTGGTAACAGGGAACCGATGACCTGTTACAAGTCACAAACAAAGTTAGCGCAGCACGTCCAGCTTGGCAAGCTTAACGACTGGGCGCCGGTACAGTCCAGACTTGGTGCGCACATCTGCCACCCGCACAACGCCATCACTGCCCGGGTGTACAGCCTCTAGTCGGCCCCGAGGCCACTGCCCTCGTGGCTGGTTGCTGTCGACGATCACCACGACATCACCTACAGCCAGTGACGGTGTGCCGTCCTGCCACTTCCTCCGCCTGGTGAGTTCTGGCCGGTATTCCAAGATCCACCTCTTCCAGAATTCGTCGGTGATCTTCTGTGCAATCCGCCAGTGCTTCCTCAGGCTCAAATCAGCATCTACAAACACGCCTGGCCGACTAGTTGCACTACTGGACCCAATGAGGAAGTGGTTGGGTGTGAGGGACTCTTCATCATCAGGATCTACTGAGACGTGAGTCAGCGGCCGACTATTCACGAGTTGCTCGGCTTCAGCGAAGACTGTGGCTAGTACTTCTTCTGTCACGACACGCTCCTTCATGACGGATTTCATAGCGATCTTCACTGCTCTGACGAGGCGCTCCCAGCTTCCACCCATGTGGGGAGCAAGTGGCGGGTTGAAGTGCCATGAGATGCCCTTACTGGAACACTCAGCGGCTAGTCGGTCTTGGCGGAAATCTTCCAATGCCGCCTTCAGCTCCCTGTCAGCTCCTCGGAAATTGGTTCCATTATCCGAGTGGATTTCTTGGGGGCAACCTCGCCGGGCGCACATTCGCCTGATTGCCATGATGGCACTATCAGTGTTCAGAGAGTGAGCCACTTCCAAATGTACAGCGCGGGTACTCAGACATGTGAACAACGCACCGTAGCGTAGTTCGCGGCGCCTCCCGATCTTGATGTGCAACGGCCCGAAATAGTCCAGCCCGGTGAACGTGAATGGTCGCAGGAACGGGGTCAAGCGCTGGACAGGTAGATTTCCCATTACAGGTGGCTTGGGATTGGCTCGTTGGTTCTTGCAGTATTGACACTCAGACCATGCTCGCTTCACAGCTGCTCGACCTGTCGTCACCCAGTACTGCTGGCGAAGCTCATTCAATGTCCTCTCGTGTCCATGATGGCCAGAACGCAGATGGTATTCGTGGACTAGGAGCTGTGTGTACCTATGCTTCGGACACAGGATAGCCGGATGTTTCGCACTGTACGCCATTTCCGTCGCATGTGTGAGGCGACCCTGAACCCGCAGGATCCCGTCCTCATCAATGGCTGGTGCTAGCTGTCGTAGACGACTGCTGGTGCTGACAGGCTGGCCATCGCTCAACAAAGCCACTTCTTCGGCAAAACATGGCTCATCTGGCTCATCTGGCTCATCTGGCTCATCTGGCTCATCTGGCTCATCTGGCTCATCTGGCTCATCTGGCTCATCTGGCTCATCTGGCTCATCTGGCTCATCTGGCTCATCTGGCTCATCTGGCTCATCTGGCTCATCTGGCTCATCTGGCTCATCTGGCTCATCTGGCTCATCTGGCTCATCTGGCTCATCTGGCTCATCTGGCTCATCTGGCTCATCTGGCTCATCTGGCTCATCTGGCTCATCTGGCTCATCTGGCTCATCTGGCTCATCTGGCTCATCTGGCTCATCTGGCTCATCTGGCTCATCTGGCTCATCTGGCTCATCTGGCTCATCTGGCTCATCTGGCTCATCTGGCTCATCTGGCTCATCTGGCTCATCTGGCTCATCTGGCTCATCTGGCTCATCTGGCTCATCTGGCTCATCTGGCTCATCTGGCTCATCTGGCTCATCTGGCTCATCTGGCTCATCTGGCTCATCTGGCTCATCTGGCTCATCTGGCTCATCTGGCTCATCTGGCTCATCTGGCTCATCTGGCTCATCTGGCTCATCTGGCTCATCTGGCTCATCTGGCTCATCTGGCTCATCTGGCTCATCTGGCTCATCTGGCTCATCTGGCTCATCTGGCTCATCTGGCTCATCTGGCTCATCTGGCTCATCTGGCTCATCTGGCTCATCTGGCTCATCTGGCTCATCTGGCTCATCTGGCTCATCTGGCTCATCTGGCTCATCTGGCTCATCTGGCTCATCTGGCTCATCTGGCTCATCTGGCTCATCTGGCTCATCTGGCTCATCTGGCTCATCTGGCTCATCTGGCTCATCTGGCTCATCTGGCTCATCTGGCTCATCTGGCTCATCTGGCTCATCTGGCTCATCTGGCTCATCTGGCTCATCTGGCTCATCTGGCTCATCTGGCTCATCTGGCTCATCTGGCTCATCTGGCTCATCTGGCTCATCTGGCTCATCTGGCTCATCTGGCTCATCTGGCTCATCTGGCTCATCTGGCTCATCTGGCTCATCTGGCTCATCTGGCTCATCTGGCTCATCTGGCTCATCTGGCTCATCTGGCTCATCTGGCTCATCTGGCTCATCTGGCTCATCTGGCTCATCTGGCTCATCTGGCTCATCTGGCTCATCTGGCTCATCTGGCTCATCTGGCTCATCTGGCTCATCTGGCTCATCTGGCTCATCTGGCTCATCTGGCTCATCTGGCTCATCTGGCTCATCTGGCTCATCTGGCTCATCTGGCTCATCTGGCTCATCTGGCTCATCTGGCTCATCTGGCTCATCTGGCTCATCTGGCTCATCTGGCTCATCTGGCTCATCTGGCTCATCTGGCTCATCTGGCTCATCTGGCTCATCTGGCTCATCTGGCTCATCTGGCTCATCTGGCTCATCTGGCTCATCTGGCTCATCTGGCTCATCTGGCTCATCTGGCTCATCTGGCTCATCTGGCTCATCTGGCTCATCTGGCTCATCTGGCTCATCTGGCTCATCTGGCTCATCTGGCTCATCTGGCTCATCTGGCTCATCTGGCTCATCTGGCTCATCTGGCTCATCTGGCTCATCTGGCTCATCTGGCTCATCTGGCTCATCTGGCTCATCTGGCTCATCTGGCTCATCTGGCTCATCTGGCTCATCTGGCTCATCTGGCTCATCTGGCTCATCTGGCTCATCTGGCTCATCTGGCTCATCTGGCTCATCTGGCTCATCTGGCTCATCTGGCTCATCTGGCTCATCTGGCTCATCTGGCTCATCTGGCTCATCTGGCTCATCTGGCTCATCTGGCTCATCTGGCTCATCTGGCTCATCTGGCTCATCTGGCTCATCTGGCTCATCTGGCTCATCTGGCTCATCTGGCTCATCTGGCTCATCTGGCTCATCTGGCTCATCTGGCTCATCTGGCTCATCTGGCTCATCTGGCTCATCTGGCTCATCTGGCTCATCTGGCTCATCTGGCTCATCTGGCTCATCTGGCTCATCTGGCTCATCTGGCTCATCTGGCTCATCTGGCTCATCTGGCTCATCTGGCTCATCTGGCTCATCTGGCTCATCTGGCTCATCTGGCTCATCTGGCTCATCTGGCTCATCTGGCTCATCTGGCTCATCTGGCTCATCTGGCTCATCTGGCTCATCTGGCTCATCTGGCTCATCTGGCTCATCTGGCTCATCTGGCTCATCTGGCTCATCTGGCTCATCTGGCTCATCTGGCTCATCTGGCTCATCTGGCTCATCTGGCTCATCTGGCTCATCTGGCTCATCTGGCTCATCTGGCTCATCTGGCTCATCTGGCTCATCTGGCTCATCTGGCTCATCTGGCTCATCTGGCTCATCTGGCTCATCTGGCTCATCTGGCTCATCTGGCTCATCTGGCTCATCTGGCTCATCTGGCTCATCTGGCTCATCTGGCTCATCTGGCTCATCTGGCTCATCTGGCTCATCTGGCTCATCTGGCTCATCTGGCTCATCTGGCTCATCTGGCTCATCTGGCTCATCTGGCTCATCTGGCTCATCTGGCTCATCTGGCTCATCTGGCTCATCTGGCTCATCTGGCTCATCTGGCTCATCTGGCTCATCTGGCTCATCTGGCTCATCTGGCTCATCTGGCTCATCTGGCTCATCTGGCTCATCTGGCTCATCTGGCTCATCTGGCTCATCTGGCTCATCTGGCTCATCTGGCTCATCTGGCTCATCTGGCTCATCTGGCTCATCTGGCTCATCTGGCTCATCTGGCTCATCTGGCTCATCTGGCTCATCTGGCTCATCTGGCTCATCTGGCTCATCTGGCTCATCTGGCTCATCTGGCTCATCTGGCTCATCTGGCTCATCTGGCTCATCTGGCTCATCTGGCTCATCTGGCTCATCTGGCTCATCTGGCTCATCTGGCTCATCTGGCTCATCTGGCTCATCTGGCTCATCTGGCTCATCTGGCTCATCTGGCTCATCTGGCTCATCTGGCTCATCTGGCTCATCTGGCTCATCTGGCTCATCTGGCTCATCTGGCTCATCTGGCTCATCTGGCTCATCTGGCTCATCTGGCTCATCTGGCTCATCTGGCTCATCTGGCTCATCTGGCTCATCTGGCTCATCTGGCTCATCTGGCTCATCTGGCTCATCTGGCTCATCTGGCTCATCTGGCTCATCTGGCTCATCTGGCTCATCTGGCTCATCTGGCTCATCTGGCTCATCTGGCTCATCTGGCTCATCTGGCTCATCTGGCTCATCTGGCTCATCTGGCTCATCTGGCTCATCTGGCTCATCTGGCTCATCTGGCTCATCTGGCTCATCTGGCTCATCTGGCTCATCTGGCTCATCTGGCTCATCTGGCTCATCTGGCTCATCTGGCTCATCTGGCTCATCTGGCTCATCTGGCTCATCTGGCTCATCTGGCTCATCTGGCTCCTCTATCTGGCTCCTCTATCTGGCTCCTCTATCTGGCTCCTCTATCTGGCTCCTCTATCTGGCTCCTCTATCTGGCTCCGCTCCTCTATCTGGCTCCTCTATCTGGCTCCTCTATCTGGCTCCTCTATCTGGCTCCTCTATCTGGCTCCTCTATCTGGCTCCTCTATCTGGCTCCTCTATCTGGCTCCTCTATCTGGCTCCTCTATCTGGCTCCTCTATCTGGCTCCTCTATCTGGCTCCTCTATCTGGCTCCTCTATCTGGCTCCTCTATCTGGCTCCTCTATCTGGCTCCTCTATCTGGCTCCTCTATCTGGCTCCTCTATCTGGCTCCTCTATCTGGCTCCTCTATCTGGCTCCTCTATCTGGCTCATCTGGCTCATCTGGCTCATCTGGCTCATCTGGCTCATCTGGCTCATCTGGCTCATCTGGCTCATCTGGCTCATCTGGCTCATCTGGCTCATCTGGCTCATCTGGCTCATCTGGCTCATCTGGCTCATCTGGCTCATCTGGCTCATCTGGCTCATCTGGCTCATCTGGCTCATCTGGCTCATCTGGCTCATCTGGCTCATCTGGCTCATCTGGCTCATCTGGCTCATCTGGCTCATCTGGCTCATCTGGCTCATCTGGCTCATCTGGCTCATCTGGCTCATCTGGCTCATCTGGCTCATCTGGCTCATCTGGCTCATCTGGCTCATCTGGCTCATCTGGCTCATCTGGCTCATCTGGCTCATCTGGCTCATCTGGCTCATCTGGCTCATCTGGCTCATCTGGCTCATCTGGCTCATCTGGCTCATCTGGCTCATCTGGCTCATCTGGCTCATCTGGCTCATCTGGCTCATCTGGCTCATCTGGCTCATCTGGCTCATCTGGCTCATCTGGCTCATCTGGCTCATCTGGCTCATCTGGCTCATCTGGCTCATCTGGCTCATCTGGCTCATCTGGCTCATCTGGCTCATCTGGCTCATCTGGCTCATCTGGCTCATCTGGCTCATCTGGCTCATCTGGCTCATCTGGCTCATCTGGCTCATCTGGCTCATCTGGCTCATCTGGCTCATCTGGCTCATCTGGCTCATCTGGCTCATCTGGCTCATCTGGCTCATCTGGCTCATCTGGCTCATCTGGCTCATCTGGCTCATCTGGCTCATCTGGCTCATCTGCATCTGGCTCATCTGGCTCATCTGGCTCATCTGGCTCATCTGGCTCATCTGGCTCATCTGGCTCATCTGGCTCATCTGGCTCATCTGGCTCATCTGGCTCATCTGGCTCATCTGGCTCATCTGGCTCATCTGGCTCATCTGGCTCATCTGGCTCATCTGGCTCATCTGGCTCATCTGGCTCATCTGGCTCATCTGGCTCATCTGGCTCATCTGGCTCATCTGGCTCATCTGGCTCATCTGGCTCATCTGGCTCATCTGGCTCATCTGGCTCATCTATCTGGCTCATCTGGCTCATCTGGC